GTGGTTGACGTTATCGCGCACTTTTACTAATGATCCCCTCGCATAATCCCGCCTCTCTCGCCCCCTTGTTTGTTCCGCGAAACGTCATTAGCATCTGCTTGGCTTGGAAAGGGGAAGGAATGCTTTCTGATATCTTACATCTGGCGAACGCTCGGCTGCTGAACAGTGCCAAGATATTTTTCGCGCTCGTCTTCCGAATAAGTAATTAATCGATCAGATCCGCATTTTAATCCCATCTCATTATACGGTGAATTTCGAATTGACTTGATGAGAAAAGTCGTTTTACATTAATAAATTTAAATATTTCTCGTTCTATGTCAGCAATAAGAATTACGAAAACTATCATTTGTGTAAATTACAAAAGGAAATAATTAACATATAGTTTCACAATGACGGAAATGCTGATCGAACGGAAGCGATGACGCATTACTGCAGGATCGTTATCTATCACCGCATGCATGATATATTGAAAACATGTCGTGTACGCCATGAATGCGACACGGAACGTGCAGTTTAATTTAATTGCATTTTTGTACCGGTCCGGGGTCGACCGTAGGAACGCGCGCTCATTTTCCGCGTGGCACGCCCAGCGAGGGGTAAATTCGAGATATGAGTGTCGACGTACGCGCGCTGATAAATGTGTTTGCGGTAGAGGAGACATGCTCAGAATATGGGGCAAAAGATATACTATCAGCATAATAAATCGTTTCTCTCGCTTGGCACTCGCTTTGGGGTTTTGGGACCAATTTCGGCAGGTCACTTAAATGTAGGTTGCATATTTGGACATACTATGTGAGCATTACGGTTTACGCCTTGAACTTGAATATAATTTTAGCATCTTTTAATTAAAGATATAATATTAGTGGCATAAAGATATAATTGTAGTAATACTATATAGTCATTAACTTGTATTACTTATATTTAGAACGTATAAGTAGTAATGGTCTTTTATTAACCGCCATCAGCAGTCTCCTGTTACTCCGACACGATTATTATAATTTAAGTTCTCAGATGTGATAATAATGTGTGATATTAAAATATACTCTGTAGTCGAAATTAGGTTGTTTTGCTCCGATCCGGTCAAATTCAGTTTACTAATAAGATTAAAACTTGTCCATTATACAGCTATTAAAATTACATATTCAGTCCATTTATCCAATTAAGTAATTTCGTACAAATCCGCGTGTGACTGTGCTATTTCAAGCCAATGATTTCGGTTTCTCGATTTGAAGAGTACAATATATAACGACTCTATCCGCGCTATCTAAAAATATACAGCATTCCAACATAAATCATTACGACAAGCCGGAATTTTTCCAGTGGAATTCAACGGAATTTCGTAGTCAGTTACGTTTCGCAAGGACGTCGATTTGCACGCTCGTCCTGCTGATCCCGGAAAATCTGCATCTCGCGATGTTGACGTGTGTCCTTGTCTCCTTTCTTGTATTTCTCTCTCTCTCTCTCTCTCTCTCTTTCTCTCTCTCTCTCTCGCTCGTTCGTTCGCTCGAGATCGGATTGAAGCTTATTTCGATGCGAATCGAACACGGATTGAGGATATCAACGTCGGGCGTTCCCGAATGAAATTACCATAATAAAGCGTCGTTGGCGGTGCCGCGCTGCTTTCGCAGACGAGGAGGACGCGACGGTCGCTCCCAGCCCGGGGAAGTCAAATGAATTATCGCGTCGAACGTAGAGAATCACCTGCCAATTTCTCATTCGGGCGTCCCTCAATTTTTCATCGTGTCGCTTCCCTACTTACCCCAAGCCCACTCCCCGCGTTCTCCACGAAAACGCGCGATCGCGACGATAAATTATACTGTGTACTTTGGTATCAAACGCGCGAGTTTCGATCCGCGATGCTGGGTGTGACTTGGGGCCATAAAGTAATTCACCAATTCCCAATTCGGATCGCGGTCGAATGTTTGAATACGACTGCAATTTGAGGATTGAAATAATTTCAATGAATCGTATCCAAATGAAACGAATAATTAAATTAATGAAATGCTCAATTACGTTGAACCAGAAATTTCACATACGATCTATAAACTTATTTAATTAAATTATTTGAATAATACCACTATTCAAATATCTATATAGCCTTCCCGAAAATTCTTCACAATCCTGAGCGTTTCGTAATCTTATTACTCTTATAAAAAAATATTAATTCTAAAAGAATACATAATTTTTGTATGCTTTTTAGACGTGCTTATCACTACATAATTGCTATAATATACTAGTTGTCTAGACATTCTATTCATAAAATATCGTTTAATATTAATAATTTATCCAATAGTCGTGAGAAATACATTACACTAACGTAATGATTATGATAAACAGATAAACATGAATACACAAAAAGTTTTTATTGTTATTTTTTTACAAATTAGTATTTATGATACACAAATGTTCTCCAAAGTTTCGCTCCGAAATTGCTAATTTCATCAAAGTATCCACGGCCGAGGAAAAAATCGGTTCCACGCGAAAAAAGCCCTACGACACCCTGTACAGTTCGATGACCGCGACACGTGTAACCGCGAGACCATGCGTACGCTCGACTGCGAACAAAAGCCGAAAAGCCTTTTAGCCTTGAAAAGCTCCACGCTCGAGCAGTGTCAATGTTTTCGGACTTGGCTCGCCGATGAAAAAAGTAAACCTGACGCGCGAAGGCTACCGCGCGAGATATGCCAGTCCAGAAAAGGGTCAACCTCGCAGAAGGTACGTCGATAATCGGCCAAAGACCGGGGGAGGGAGCTTTTCATCACTCGTGAAACCGCTAGTCATGGATTCCAGCTAACGCGGGTGGGTATTAAATCGACGTCCCCTTCGCCGAGCGGTTTTTGCTGACGTTGTGCGGCTTCAGCGACGCTGCGCCGTCGCCGTCGCCGTCGTCGTCGCCATTCAAAGCCGGTTCTTCACGCCTATGCGCCGAAACAACTGCAAGCTTCGAAGCTCGCTCGGGCGTGAGATAAACCCAGGACCTGTTGCAGGAACGAACATCCGGACGAGAAAAAGGGAAGAGCGGAGAGGTTTGATTTTTCGGTCGGTTCATCGAGTCGCAGCACGTGTAACCGTGGAATTCGAGTACGGTTCGAGGACTTTGGATTTCCAGAGCCCGAGTTCGATAAAGCGCGCGCTTATAATCAGGGCGCAAACCCTTCGCAAAAATATGACGTTGGGATAAATTGTATATAACTCGACGAGATTAAAGAGCTACTTTGAATCAGTGGTAAAAGCGACGAAATATAAAATTTACGTAACTTTGCGAAAAGTTGTCGTAAAATTATTTTCAACGTTAAGCATTTCAATTTTATTTAGAGGAATTACGATATCAAAATCCTGATAAATCGTTTTGACTTATTTTTATATTAAAAATGAATATAAAATTGTAGCGGTTCAAAATACTCCAAACTTGCAAAATCAGCATCAAGATTAACCTGACGTTTCTTCTTGCTTTTATTACAATTTCGTAGTTCTTATTACAATTTTCTTACAACTTTGCAGAAAATAATCGTAAAATCATCTTCAGTATTAAGCATTTCAATTTTATTTAGAGGAATTACGATATCGGAATCCCGATAAACCGTGTTTAAATTTAAATCTTTTATATTGAAAATGAATATAAAATCGAAGTATTCAAAAATATTTTAAACTTATCAAACTAGCATCAAGATTAACTTGACATTTATTTTCATATTTATTACAGTTTCGTACTTCTTATTACAGTTTTGCGAAAAATAGTTGTAAAATCATTTTCGATAAAGCATTTTAATGTTGTTTAGAGAAAATACGATATCGAAATCCTGATAAGCCGTGTTCAAATTTAAACCTTTCATATTAAAAATTAATGTAAAAAATCGAAGCGTTCGAAAATATTTTAAACTTATCAAACCAGCATCAAGATTAACCTGAACGTTTCTTTTGATTTTTATTATAGTTTCATAGTTCTTATTAAAGTTTTCATCTCGCTACGTCTGGCATTAGCCACGTTATCGTACCTTCGTGCGTGTACCAAAGTGTCTACTATTTTACATAAGACAACATTTCGAATTCAGTTTGTCACGAAGACAGACGTAACGCTATTTGAAGCGACTCTGGCGCGTGTAATATCGGTGCGGGCGGTGTCCCGCGCGTGAATGGAGTAGAAACAAACCGCTCACACCTCCGCAGCTGCAACACCGATCTTCCGCCGCGATAACGAACTGAACGAGGCACAACCGCTTCAGAGCGAGCTGCCGACATAATGTCGTACGCAGCTGCGTCGTGTACTAAACTCGTTCGCGTCTGTGGCGAGAATCTAAATTTGCACATTTGCCGCGCGCGATATCGTCCGCGTCTTCACGTACGAAGATATAATTAAATCGAAACGCGGCGATAATGTCACGTTGACATTCCGATAGATATCCCCGAAAAGAAGTATTTCGCGTTACGAACGAAATTCGTCTTTGATCCATTCGTGATAATCGCCGGGAAAAAATCGACCTAAGTAAATTTGTTTCAAGGAAGCGACATCGTGAGACAATCGTGTTATCGCGAGACGTAACTCCGCCGAACACGTCTAGTGCAAAATACTGCGGAGCGAACCGAAGGATGTGCGTGAGCAAGTGCTCGACATGAAGAAGGATAATGTCGGGAACCTATCTCCTATCTGGGTTCATATGCGCGACGACGCGTTCTACGGCTGACGCGGACTCGCATACCGATCGGTGGCGTGATATAGTCAGACAGGAAAAGGCGAAAAGGCGATGCTTGCGCTTCGCATTAAATATCATGAAAATTATCGGAAGGATCGTTCATTTTCAAGCTTCGATTTTGACAACAATAATTTACGACGATAATTCACGATAATAATGACACGCGAATTAACTGCTGGCTTATGTTTAATAATTTATATTGAAAGATTGTTTAACAAGCGATCGAATGAGCAATAATTAATTGTGTATTTTCATGTTTACTACGACACTTTAAATAGTACATCTATATATATTTTTTTTTGTTTGATACTTTCCATTATAATTATAACTCACGCAATTATTTACGCCATATTTCTTCTCCTAGAGTAATGTTCTCGACTCACCTGTAACAAAGAAAATATGTACACAATTAGATGCGATGATTAAAAACAAATGCATGTTATTTTGTAGTATTAATATATCTATGCTAGATTGTTATTGACTGTTCTCCTTGATCTATATTCCTATAAACAAGTAGAAAAGTATAAAGGTATTCGCAATTCTTATCAGCACAATCTTTGATATTTTAAAATCGATTTTTCAAGCTACCAGTATCGTTATTTGAAATATATAAACCATTGTACAATATATAATAAATACTGTTCAACACGTAATAGCAGAAATGAAAAAAAGAAAGAAAATATATGACACATTTTTACAGACCATGCAATATTATCAGTTAAGGCTAAAGTTAGCATCCAATTAAATTCCAATCTATAAAGACGTTTAGACAGTATAGAATATTTATATCTATAGATATTTATACACATTTTTAACGTAAATTAATCCACGGGCGGTACCTATCGTGTTTCGTGTATCGATGCATAGGTCAGCGTGGAGGCTATCGACTATCGGCTCGGTAGGATAGTCAACGGCGGAACGCGACCTCCGGATTGTCCCGTGGCGATGTATGTATCGACGTGCGGCAGATATATCGGCTTCCGCGCGAGCCGTCACGGTCCTTCGAACGATGCCATTACACGCGCCACGTGTTCAGAATTGGATCTTCGGACGTCGTGGGCTCGCATCCCGTAATTTATCAGGGAGTCGCGGTAATAGGGTCACTTGCCAACAAAGCGCCCGAGCCAATCGTTTCCGGCCGGCCCGATCGAGTCCGCGGGAGGATTTCGCGATTGATCGTTAAAAAGGAACGGGAGCTCCGGTCTTCTTCTCCAGGTCGCGCGGGACAGCTTTTTACGGCGCGACCGTAGCGATTCTCTTGGCGCTAAATTATCGTTAATGCGAATCGTTAGTGCCTTTCTTACCGTCATCGCGTTTTTCGGACTCTGCATATCCTACGTCAATATGTCCCAAGTCCATTTGTCGGGACAAGAATCTGCTGTCTTTTATCCCCTTTTGTATAAGTACACGCAGAAAATTTTTCTCGAATAATTTAGAATACTCATAATAAAATTTACTAGATTTGCTACGTACCGGTAAGATATACGCGTATTCAACCGGAAATTAATATATGACAATAGAAAAGTAATAGTTTAATCAGATACATCTTGTAACCTAAAGGTAAATAAATTTGCCATACTAACAAGGAAATATGAGAACAGTAAAAAAGTCCCATACTAGTATGTTGTTGTTGATTGAGCGTTGGCGGGCTCGCGCGGCGAGAGGATTCGGCTCGCGCCCGCTACGCGGCGCATCGCCGGTATATTCTCGCGTGATTAAGATTCAACATCGACCTTTATATCTAGGGCAGCTCGGTACGGTCCGTACTCCGTACTACTCCGTATAGCGTTCTCAAGTTCGCTCGTGGCGGACAGCTGACCGCCACAGCCTATAGCGGCAACTTATGTTTTTGACAACAGACGTCTCGTTTTTTGTTCTTCAGCCATATTTCGAGATAAGATACAATCGGATAAGATATAATTGAATCATCCGTCTTTAAATTAACAAAGTAAAACGCGCTCTCAAAAGTCTCCCATACTTGATGGAAATATTTACTTCTGCGTATAGTTTATTAGTTTTATTCTTTGCTCTCTAAATTTTCCTATACTTTCTTGAAATCTTTTCCATATTATGACTATATCCTAGCCGTGCAAGATTAGTATGGTATTTATTTTGTTCGTGTATACTTGTATTTTCAAGAAAAATTTTCTGCGTGTAGCATATTAGGAAAATTTCTCATCTTCGACTTTGCTTCAAAAGGGTTTCAGAATCTTTTTGCTCCATTTAAGAAACTTGCGCAAATATAACATTCCCTTTTTTCTGAAGAAACTCTTACAAGTGAATTACCTATGGATCCCTTACCGAAAAAAATATATATTGTAACGTTTAACTTGCACGAGCGATCGTGGCGTTGAAATTATTGCGCTCCGTGTGAACAATCACGTTTCGGGTTCGAGATACGTCAAACTCCGAGATAATCTGGCACGCGGACCCTCATTGGCAAGTCCTTATTGTGTTTGCGCATCGTGATGTTAGACTATTGTGGACTATTGCCCCAGGTGTTTGATGACCCGGGCGGTCTTTAGACGTCACTCGATCCATAGCCCAGTAATTCATCAAAGGTACTGTGCGTACGCTTTGACGTAAAGCTGATGGATTGACGTGTACTTTGTAGCAGAATGCTTCGACTACGTCAAAGCGAATGTGTTTAATGAAGGGGTAAAATCAACTTTAGTTTCGGCGATCAGATAGCATTAGAATTAATTTATCAACAGTGACCGATCCTTCATTAGAATCAATCAATGATTAAAAATTGAGGATTAGGAGCAATTAATTAATTGTATAATTAATAGCTTATTTATGAATAAAATAATTATAAATTAGATCTGCAATAATCGTATCATGAATAAACACTTATGATAATTAAACGATTAGCAAACCTATATTACGAACAAAATTCGGTAATTGCGTAGATGGAGGAGGTCACCTTGGATGACCTTGATTTTTAAGTATGTTGTCAAGGTCACCCTCCTGAGTGACCTTCAAAAGGTTTCAGCCCGCGCTCGTTGTTTATTGAAAAGTTGTTAACAAAAAAAAATTGAAAAATGTAGCAGTTATTTTGAATATTAAAAGGCACAAATGACTAATTTGAGATCTCGGAATACCTATTTTACTTTAATCTGCGCTAATTTTGGGCGTTAATACTTTCGCGAATTCAAAATTTGGTTCGGCGCAAAGCCGCGATAATTAGTTTCGGAACATATCGCGAAGCAATTTCCAAATGTGGGATATGCTTGCGCCAGACTTGTTTGCGACTAACGGGAAATGTGCGTGCAACGTATACACGGGATAAATTACACTTTGAGCATCGCACTATGACACACCATGCTGCGTGCTCTGGGTATGTAGCGTTGCATTATTACATTTATATGATTTGAGCAATCAGGTAATTACCGAGCTACCACAATTCCTATGCCAGCTTTACTCAATTATACGTTTAATAAATTAAATTGGATATATGTACCTGTAAAAAGTATATTTTTTTAGCCTTTCGCTTTTTTTTATCGCTATCTCTCCTTCTCTACTCTTTTATCTCTTGTATTCAATTTCACTCACTGTGACGTGCATACTACGCATATTTGATTCTATAAAGATTTTAATTAATTCCATTTAGATTTAATATTATTGCCGTTTCATAATTAAACAGTACAAATTTTACAAATAATAAAATTTTACATAAAACTTCTCCATCTGGTTCTTTTTCCTAATATAATGTTTCATTCATCAAATTATAAAATTCATTAACCAAATTAAATGTCACAGGACATTTTAATCCATCTCGAGAACGATACGAGATTTATTTACGCAAAAGAGAAAAAGAGAGGGAGGGATGAGGGAGGAAAGAGTAAATATCGATCCACGATTCTCAGGATATCCTGTCGCGTAACTTCGCTTTTCTGCATTAAAGTCGGTCGACGTTACGGAGGGAGAGAAGTCGTATAATTCTCTCGTATAATCCATATATCCGCCGCCTATCTATTCTCGGACTGTTATTCCCGGACTTCAAGAACCGGGAGTACTAAAATCGGTGGAGAGATATTGCGCCTTGTAAATTGACTATGTCCTGCCGGATGGATTATGCGCGTACTCAAGGAGCTTAAGCGCCAAGTTAATAATTCAAGTTATAAATCACGCGCCGAACGAGACGGTCCTATCGCGTCACTTCTAATCGCCTCCTTATTATTTGCTCCGTTACAAGTTTAATTATCGAATCGCGAACACGTTGATACGGACATCAACGTGCAACTCACTCGCTCTGTAACAGTTGTGTGATACGTTATTACGAACATCGGGTCGCATTTAAATAATTCCGCATTTTACAATTCAGTAAGCTAATGTATGCGCATTTAGTAAACGCAACTTTGTTGTAATATATTCCCTTATTATATACCTATATATCGTATATATTATCATGTATATCATGTCATCGTGCACATCATGTATATTATCAACGTTAATTAATGCGTTAACTATTGACACGTTGCGCTCCATTTTGCGGCGCGCTATTACGATAACGAAACGTGGCCTTAAATCATAATCCTTATTTCTTATTAGAAATTTATTTGAACAACAATATTTTGTAAACAAATTTTACTATGTAGAGAGACGTAAAGAATTATTATTATTATTATTATTATTTTAAGAATTATACTATACATAATTATTAATATTAAAAATATTAATTCAATCTCAATACAATATTCTAAATAAATTTATTATCATGTATAGAAAGACGTAAGGGAGGAATTACTTCGATTGCTAAGCTGCGGTGCGGCGGCGCCTCTCTCTTCTCGCTCTAAACTCTCGCGGGTACTTAGATAAGTTCGCTAAAGTGCAAATATCGTAAAGCCAAAAGGAATATCGTATTAGCTCGGAAAGTTTTCGTCTCGCGGCCGGCATAAAGCAAAGCGGATTCACCGCTTAAGACCGATCTCAGCTGAATACAATTATCCGCGACGTGAGGATGGAGAACAGTAAATGAGATTCTTTGTCGGGGGGAATTAATGGCGAAACCTATCATCTTGCTAACGGGTGTTCGAGCCCCGTAGGAAAGTTGAGCCGAGGTAGTGTTTCGCTTTCGAATAAACTGCTGGCGCACGCGGTCGCGTATCGCGACTTAAACATCGAGTATCGGTATTCTCCCTCGGATGTGTATCACAATTTTTGCGCTGCCACAGTGCAGCGCCGCCCGCGCGCCGGTGAAAGCGAACGGTAAATCATTTGGACAGCCATACAATACGTCATAATGATGGAGTTTCAGAAAATTTATAAATTCGTAAATCTCCACGGACACCTCGCGCAATTCGTCCAAATTTCCACGCACGTGTTATCTCGTATTTAAATTTTATTTTAGTGAAATTCATCTAGAGAGAGAGTGCCCGAA